TTTGAAGGGGAGCGCGCGCCGAAAAAAACGCAACTTTTTGTCAAAGTTTTCCAAAAAAAAGCCAAAAAAACCGCCCCTCCGATTTGAAAATCCGCACCTTACCCTCGATAAAAAGCTAGATCTGCTCCTGATATTATGCAATGCATTACTTAGTCCTGTTTAAAATTATCGAATCTCGCTATGGGACTTGGTTGGTTGTTTGCTGACGTTTTTCTATTGAATGCATCCAGTTAATGACAAAAACCAAGTATTCCGTCCGCTGAAATGAAAACGAAAAAGGGAATATTTTGGAATATGGACTGCTCTGGCATAAAATACCAATACAACCATTGACTTATATATATTTTTCAATTTCATTTCTAAGAAATACGTTTGCTTCCATAAAACCTTTTATAGGTTTCATTTAGGAAAGCTTGTAATGTCCGGGGTGTAGCGACTTGGATGCGTGCCGCTTAGCATGCATAATTAAAATAAATACTCACTTCAATGCGGAACGTGTAAATTTGTGTAAATGCGGAACGTGTGATTTTTAGTTGCAAACGAGAGAAAACTAACTCAATTCTAAGTGCGCTAATGGCCGCCTGTTATGCGGCATACATGCAAGTAGGCCTGTCCCCGTGAAGCCCAGTCAATTTAATTGCAAACAAAACAAGACTGCTCGTATCAGGGCGAAGCCCTGAATGTTCCGACTGCCTTTTAAGGTTTATGGAGCAGCAGTAATAACATAAAAAAATTAATTGAAATAAAATAAAATGAAAACTTTTTTTTCTAAAATTTTTTATTTTAAAATTTTCGAAATTTTTTATGAAAATCATCCCTCCACACGCCATATAAAACACAAAAAGATAGATTTCGTTCCTTGTAACAAATCAATTATGGCAAATAAGCTTCATTCAACCAACTTGGAACCATTTATAAGACGGATTAAATCTCCGCTTACGCGTTAATAGCGCGAATTATATAGCGCGTTAATTGTCCCAAGTTGGTCAAAATGGCCAAAATGGCAATCTTTAAACCCTCGTAACTTTACGAAAAATGATCACAGGTGAAATATCTTTTCAAATTTAAGCTCAGGACAACAATACCTTTTGAATGATAAAAAAAATTCCGTCAAAAATGGCTAGTTAAAAAGTCGAAATTTGTCTGAAGAAAAAAAAACCCACCCCGAGCACAAATATTCCGTTACTTTCGTATCGAAAGTCGGAACAACAAATAATTGGAAAAGCAATCAATCAAATTAATCATTGAGAAAAACTGAGCAATCAATTAATTAATTAATTGTTGCAATTAATGGACCAAGTTAACATCCTAAAGGTAGTTTATGGTGGGAGGATGTTAGCTTGGTTCCGAATTCAAACTTTTAGCCAATCAAATTGAGATTTTACTCGCAGCGCTTAGCAAGTTTACATTAAATTGAACACTGGAGTGGAGGATTTCAACGTGGTCTATTTGGAAAGAGGTGGAGGATGTTAAATTGGTCCCAATTAGCTTCCAAGTTATTGGAATTCAATCAACTTTTTGAAGCCTCTGGTTATCAGACAAAAATTGCGATGACTACCAAGATTAGGATCTTTTTAACTATTTCCCCCTTTTGCGAAGGGGGAATTCTTACTAGGTAAAAATTTGACATATGCTTAACCGTTAAATTAGTTATTTGTAGGAGTAGCAATTTGTTACCAGGTACCAAGGGGGGTAGTTGAAGAGATCCTAGGATTACTGAGACCCGACTACAGAAACTATAATCAAACGCGAGCACTGAAAAATAAAATAGGTATTCCTTCAATTTTCATTGCTCTCAAAATAAAAATCAGTGGTCTAAGTCTCTTAACAACAAATAGTTGTCTTAATTTGAAAATATTGTTCAATTGGTCCAAAACCACTAATCCGACTAATTCTAAAACACTTTTTGAACCATTTGAGTGAATAATAGTTCCGTGAATGTTTTCATATTGGGTCCCACATCCGCTACTGCACGTGTTTGGTTGCCGTGACATGGTTAAAAAACCGTTTAGGGGGAGGATGTCAACATGGTTCTGAGTTCGAATTTGCAGGCAATCAGACTGGAGTATTTTACACACAGCGCTAATGTAAATTGAACGCTGGGTGGAGAATCTTAATTTGGTCTATTTGGAGGGAGGATATTAACTTGATTTTAACTATTGAGAGTTGAAAATGCATTCAAATTATTTTCATTACCCTTTCGATAAGCAAGGATTTTGCAATTGAGTACTAGACTTTTTTCCCGTAAACAAATTTTTCCACAGGAGTCATCTCCTGGACTCATTATTCACCTGTTCTTTGTTCGAAACTGCAACAGACATATTTTAATGGAGCATTTTAAAATTTTCTTAGAGCATGTTAGCTTTTCAGATATCAGTCTTATTCAAAATTTGCTTTTTCTAGGTTGGTAGTAATTTTACCAACTTTTTTTATTTCACTTTTTGTTTTTTTTTCCTTTTTTAATTCGTTTGATAAGTTCTAGCCTATATTATATCGGCTTAGTTCATGAAATGTCGCCCTTTAGTGAGCAAAAAATTTCAATGTGTGTGTATTGAAGATGATGGGTCTTTAACAACTTTTTAAGTAGTTTTCAAGTCTTTTTAAATTTTCATTTTTTGTTTTCCTTTTTTCTCGGTTTTATAAATTTCGGCCTATATTATATCGGCTTATTGGCCTCATATTGCTTCGTTTGAAGAAAAGAAGTTTTCGTGTACGTGTTTGTATTGAAGGTCATGAGGTTGCCGTGACATGGTGTGCGTGTGTTAACAAATTTTTGATTAGTTTATAATCAGTTTATAAGTTCATTTTTTATGATTTTTTCTCGGTTTAGTCAATTTCCGCCTATATTATATCGGCTTATGGGCCTCGTATTGCGTCGTTTGATGAGCGAAAAAAGTTTTAGTGTGCGTGTGTGTATTGAAGGGGATAGGGTTTTATCAACTTTTTAATTAGATTTTCTAAGTGTTTGGTGAAATGTTTTTGGCTTAAAGGGTTTGTGCTCAGATACTTTTGGCTTTTTTAAAGCTTGGTTAGTATTTTTCTGATGCTAACTGTTTGGTTAGTAAAGCTTGGTTAGTTTTTTTGATTAGTTTATAAGTATTTTTTAAAAGTTCATTTTTTATGATTTTTTCTCGGTTTAGTCAATTTCCGCCTATATTATATCGGCTTATGGGCCTCGTATTGCCTCGTTTGATGAGCGAAAAAAGTTTTAGTGTACGTGTGTATTGAAGGGGATAGGGTTTTATCAACTTTTTAATTAGATTTTATAAGTGTTTGGTGAAATGTTTTTGGCTTAAAGGGTTTGTGCTCAGATACTTTTGGCTTTTTTAAAGCTTGGTTAGTTTTTTTCTGATGCTAACTTCTATTGTTCTGGTGCTTTTTTTTTAAACTGCTTTTTTTATTTTTATAGACTTCGGCGTTTTCTAAAATTTGTCCGATATTTTTTTCAAATTAGCGTCTGTTTTATATTGTATCGCAAGTGGTGCGAAGCTCGGCTTCGCCTCCGTGTAAATGTTTTGAGCAAACAACAAATAGTTGAAGCACTCGCTGACGGAAAAATTGACCAATTGTAGCAAATGTGTCTGGTGAGTACCCACAGAGCGTTTTTCCCAGCTTGTGCAAAAAAACTAAGTATCTCTGAATGGACTAAAAGACAAATACGTCTAAATATTCAGACTAGATGCCGCGTAAATACTGACTGGGCCCACTCCAACCTGTAATGGCTTCAAGCGAACTCTGATCGCTGCGTTCAGAGCGACCAGTAACGTTCTACTAATTTTGGCAAAAAGGTAACGTTCTTGTGGCAAATTTAGAATGTAGCTCCATGACACGCAACCATCTGAGTTTGTTTCAGAGCTGACAAATTGTTTTTTAGGCGTTCCTTCTTTTGAATTTCTTCTGAGAACTCTTTTTGGTGTTTAATGGCTACAAATCCCGTTAATCAACGGGATTTGTAGAGAACCTCTGGAGTTTCTCTCTTGGTGCCCATGTTTAGCTATTTCGGTTTAAATAAGTAGCTGCTACTGAATTCACTTTTTAAATTTATCTAGGTTACGATTATTCAAATTTTCTATTGGCTCAGAAGTAGTCGCGTTAACCAGAATAGGTCGTTAAGTAACTTTTCGTTGCGACCAACCCCCTAATTCGGTTGTGAAAGAACTGTGGCGTATGATGTGTTAAGTTGTTCCCAATTTTGACAACCTCGAAAAGGTTAAGGTGGTCAAGCTTGGTTTCAAAAAAGTGGTCCCAATCTGGAGAAAAACTGGTCTGATCATTACCGGTTTTCAGAATAGTTTAGACAAAAACTGATGGTAGACCTACCATTTTTCTACTGCTTTACTGTTAAATTTTACAAAATCTTTGAACAGTTTTTACTTCCCATTCTTACACTATTTAAGCTAATTCAGTTAACTTTTAATTTAAAAAAAAAAAAACATTTTTATAAAAACTTGAAGCAGCTAGAAAAACATTTTTTTAAAGTTTTGTATATTTTGCTTTTTGTTCGAGCTGCTTTTCTTAAATCATTGTTGAATCATTGTTGAATGCTTTTCTTGAATCACAACTGACTCTCCATGTTAGCGGTTATGATTTCGAATATAGAAAGTTGCACAAAATAGAACTCAAGCGCAATTATATCTGAATACCTTCTCTGAACAAACAAATTGCCATTTTTCCATGCGACGAATTGCGGCTATGATGACGTAAATGGAATATTTGCTAATAAGCATTTTAGGCAATGATTTTCATTATCATTTGGTCGCAAAAAAATTGTTCTTGTTTTCGAGTGCTGTGTGTGATGCAATGATGCGCTTCGGCTCCGTTAATAATTTCAATGAGATAAGCTTTCCCGATTCAAAAAAAAGCCAATTAAGTTTGATTTAACAAAAATTGATTCGTGATAAAATCACACCGGGACTTGTACATCTAAACCGTGACCAAAAAAGAATGTTTTTAATTTAAAGTTGACCAAACCGACAAGCAGTAGCGTTCTCCTGTTTCAGATTTGTACTCATCTTCATCTGTCTGCTGCTAAGTGTGATCAGCTCTGCTGAAGTGGAGCGAAATGAAAACAACCAATACTACCAAACATCTATATCTAATTTCTATAACCAGTACTCGGCTCAAAATGGAACCTCATCGGACTATTCGAGTAGACGGCTCGGATCCCGCTCGTCGCCAGGAGCTCCAATCGACTACGGGACTACAGAAAGTGTTGCTGCAGATGTGTCTAATTTTTCCGAGGAAGCAAACAAAGCGCTCCATAAACTGGTAAGTTGCTGCTTATAATTCAGGCTTTTTAATATGCCAGAAAAGTCAGGAAATTTTAGACTACATGTAAATCTTGAAAAAAAACTCTCTTTTTAAAAAAAATGAATTTTGACGATATTGGTGCTTGTTAGTTTCTGTAAATCCCGTTGACAAAGGTGGGATACCTTGCAAACACTAGTAGTAATCTTGTAAGGTCCTGAAAAATAGCCGTTCTCGTACAATAATACGGTAAAAATTAGGCTTCGCCCGCAAACCCTCTTTAAAAAAGGTTCACTTTGGGTACTTATAAGGTTTAAGTACCTCGAAAAAAAACGCAGTATGTTTCTCCTGATATTTTCTTCTGCTTCCGTTAGATTAATTTTGCTTGTAATCAAAAATTTTGATGAGCCGAAATTATTTGCATCGCTTGATATCTTGTCAGATAAAATAATGCGATGCCTTTCAGAATATAGGAGTTCAACAACTGACTGAGGTGACAAAACTTGACGGTGCAATGCTATTTAACTTTTTTCATCTTTTATTTCATCCTTTTTAGAATTTGAGACCAGCAAGTTGAAGAAACACATCCGACCTGGTTGTTCAAAAAATTTGGCAAAAATGACCTGAACGTACCTTAAATTACCTTTATTTTTAAGGTAAAGGTTTACCTTAAGTAATTTTAATGTAGACTTGAGGTAAAGTGTACCTTAACAACCACTTACTTTAAGTGACTTGAAGTAACTTTACCTCATCTTTTTATAAAAAGTTTTGGTGTTTTTTTACTTAAACTTGCAAGAAAATTGTGTTTCTGCTCATACAGGTAGTCTTGTATCTGTTTTTCTTTCGATAGAGTACTAAAATATGTTACTTCTGAATATTACTTGTAGATAGTTTGCGGTTTGTCTTTTGTTTGTTCAATTCACTATGTTCTCTTTTGTATTTTATATAGTGTTTGGCAACGAAAAGAAGACAAAAACGAAAGAGAAATCATTCATGTTTTACTTATTATCGCAATTTTTCTATTATATTTATTTTTTTTCAGCTGTAAGGAACAGTTAGAATATTCGTGATTTTACTCTGATTTACGACCACTTTTAATTTTTAGATATAGTTGAATGATCTTGCCTATCTCTAGAACAAGCCAATGTTTTGTTATTTTTAATGAAACCTGAAAAATCTCAATCCTTAAGCTAGCCATTTGAGGATAAACACAAAGTATAGCCCCACATTCTACTACTTTTCTTCAATTTTTTCGTCTTTAGTCTTCCATTTTTGGCAACCCTAAACTTCATTAATTACTTAGTGCAATTTTTTTTAAAGCAAGCCAAAAAAAATTTCTGAGGTTAGATCCATATGTAGAGAAATTGAATGAAAAAACTATGATTTTGTTATTTTTCAGTTGTGTTTTATTGATAAGAGCTTTTTCATTTGTGTTTGGCTATAAACACGACCACAGATTTATTTAAAAGATGTCAAATTTTTGTTTATGGAAAAGTTTGTATTGAAGGAAAAATAATAATCATAAATTTTTAATCAATTTTCCATACTTATGGATCAGTTTTCTGGATAATTTTTCACATCTTTCATTACCCAGAACATTAAAAATATGCAACAAAAACGATTATTTTTTGAGCGCCCTACAAAAAAAATACGTGTATTCAAGACTACGTTATGCACACAGCAACAAGGATTTTTGGCCCGCAAAAAAAATTATTAAAAATAATTGTGTCACCAAAAATTTATAGCCTACAATTTTATATTTAAAAACTGTATAATTAGCATTTTTTAACCAAAAATTTTATTCTTTTTATGATATTTGTGACATTTATGATATTCTTAAAGCATTGAATCATATAATTATCATTTTTGGTCTATGTGATCAACTCTGGTGTACGAAATCGCTTTCTTGCAGCGCAATTTTCTAAATTTTTTCTAGGTTGCTACAAATTTTGTTGCTTTTTCAAATTTTTTTTAGTTAACGACAAGCTACACTTTTGAATAACTTCAAGCATTGGTTTAAAATAGTTTAGAAATCACCTAAAATCAGATTGAAACAATGGCCTGATTTTTCCAGTTTAATATATTTTTTTCTGAAAAATGGAATCATGTATTCTCGCCCTTGAAAAGTTATTATCTTTTCTGTTATATGGTTTAAATCTACAACATTAACATTTGAGTTTTTATTTTGAATAAAAAGCATTTTTTTTGTTGGAATCTATTTTAACCAATCAGATTTGGTCACTTTCGAAGGTTTTATGACGACTAAAAGGGCTTTGATTTATGATGATACACCACTCGAATCTTACGAGTTTTCTTTGCAGTAACTAAATTCAGCTGTATAACCCTACCTACGAGTTTTTTTTGAGGTTACCCAAACAGCTGTATAAACCTACCGTACACCATATCTCCTTTTCATTCTTTCGAGAAAGGTTAGAGCAATATTTGTATGACATCATTGATTTTTAATACTGTAAAAAATCATTTTTTTTCTGTTCAATAAATAACCCGGATTAGAGTAACAAACATTTGAACACACTAAGACACTTACACACACCACAATTTTTTTATTATATATTCCCGCGCCGGAGTTCCATGGATAATAATCGATTATAATGGAAAATTGTTGTCTAAAATGGTGTCATTATAATCCATTATTGTTGCAAATTTAGACCACGAAATCGATTATGTTGTCATTATAATCGATTATTTTTGTAGAAACTTAATTATAATCCATTTAAAATCCACTATAATTGATTACAAAGGATTATAAACAATACATTTTTTTTTGCAAAATCATTTGCAAAACTTGCAACATTTCTGCGTTACTCACGGCCTACTCGCAATCTAAACCTACTCGAATTAACCCCCCCCCCACATAAAGGGGGGCGAATGGCGGTGTGGTAAACTGACAGAGAGGTGAGGGGGGGGGTCTGAGCAGGGAGGAAAACGGGGTATATAAGACAGAAATTATAAAAATTGAAAAGAGAAATATATCGTTTTATGAAACCTATACGTAGCAACTGCACTAAACAGAAATGCGATAACTTTGAAAAAAGTTGCAAATCTCATGACTATCCTCTCGAAAAAATCCATTGTAATTGATTATAACCGATTATAAAGGATTATATTGGCATAAAAATATAAGAAATATAATCCATTTTTAGCCTAAAAAGCAACCCTCAACCCTTAGCCTAAAAAGTCTTAATTTATGGCAGAAAGAAACCTGAATAAACCATTTTCGTATGTTTCATTGAATGTATCAACGAATGTACGAGGGACTTGAAAGTACTATTTTATACAATTTCCGTTGAAATGTATGTGATGTTTTAATGTAGGAGATTCTTCTGATTGTAATTTTTGGAGTGGAGCTGGTGCTGAGAGTCTGGTCAGCTGGATGTCGCAGCAGGTTCCAGACACTCCTCGGAAGACTCCGGTTCATCAAACAGCCATTTACATTCTTAGGTACCTATTTCAGTTTGTTAAACTTAATAAATTGGCGTATCTAAACTAACCACGTTGAAGATCGGAGTCAAAATTGATAACAAAAATAGGCTACCAGGAATTAAAATGAGTTCGTTTAGTTTATGCAGTCAGCTGCTCTTAACGAATATATGAATCTTGAGTTTAAAAAATTAGTTTTGATCTTGAAAAGCCAAGATAATAACAAATGCAATACAACATTGATCAGAGAACTTTACTTTCTATGAAAAGAATTTATTCGGCTCAACATTATTTTTTTTTTATAAATCGATGTCTTTAACAAGCAATGATCAGTATTTCTCAGTAATTTATCCTTAGTTTGATACATTTCAAGACTAATGGGACCTAAGATAAGTCAAACCTGTGTTTGAATCAATTTCGCTTGACGAAGTATCATTTATATAACCATAAACTTCTCCCCAAGAATTTGATTTGAAACTCACTCGATTGATTGAAAAGTACCTAAATTGTACCTAAAATGAAATTAAAATCCAACATTTTATTCTGCGCTCACTATGCTTCTCGCATTTGATAAAATAATTTTCAAGCCCCATATTTTTATCAACTAAATTAAATTGTCGTAGGAGTGCTTTAAAGTTTATTGGGAAAAAAACATGTTTCCATAGAGTAGAAGAGCATTAAAATGTTCAAAAGGGTAATAAAAAGACATTTGAAATCCAGTTTACACGTGAAAAAATTTCAAATTGGCTTTTTCATTACTATTTCAGACCAATTATTGTAGTAGCAAATGAGGAAAGGTAAAAGCTACCAGTTATAAAATATGATTAAAAGATTTGTAGTTTAAAAGCGTTTTTTTTTTGCTCTGATTTCTTAATTTTAGACTATTATTTTTCAAATTTGGTCTATCAATTGTTTCTAACTCATACTAATCCAAACTTTCTGTCTGTTATCTTTGTCTGTGCAGACATCTTCATCTGTGTGACGTCACTGGTGATCATCGTGACTGGGACTGAGAACAACAAGGTGTTCGCCACCTCCTCTCTCCGAGGTCTTCGCTTCCTCCAGATCCTGCGCATAGTCCGCATGGACAGAAGGGGTGGCACATGGCGACTCCTCGGAAGCGTGATCTATCTTCACAGACAGGTACACTTTTTAGGTTCTATGATTTTATACCCTATTCCTGCCTATCCTATTATATTGCACCCAGTAGCGGATTTAGAGGGGGGAGGGCTTTTCTCCTCAGGAATTCGACCCCCTGCCGACCCAAAGGATCCTCCTTTGTACTATTTTGAGATATCCACTTTTAGTTAACTGACCTTCAAATGTTTCTAAAGCGGACGCCTTTTCTCCTCAGGGATTAGCGGACGCCTTTTCTCACTTTTAGCGGACGCCTTTTCTCCTCAGGGATTCGGCCACCTGCCGACCCAAAGGATCCTCCTTTGTACTATTTTGAGATATCCACTTTTAGATGACTGACCTTCAAATGTTTCTAAAGCGGACGCCTTTTCTCCTCAGGGATTCGGCCCCCTGTCGACCCAAAGGATCCTCCTTTGTACTATTTTGAGATATCCACTTTTAGATGACTGACCTTCAAATGTTTGTAAAGGCGCCTTCGGCGCCAATATATACTAACTTCTAAGGGGGAGTGCGCGCCGAAAAACGCAATTTTTTGGTCGAAATTTTCCAAAAAATGCAAAAAAAAAAACGCTTTTTTGGCTTATTGTTTTTATAAAAATTGCCCGCGGCGCAGAAGATTTGGTCAATATAGGGTCTTTAGAGTGATTTGGGAGAGCTCAGAAAACTAATTTGGTTGACCTAAAAAATGGTCGAGAAAAATTTCAAAACTTTTTTGAAAATCCGCCCCCCCCCCTCGAGAAATTCCTAGATCCGTGCCTGACCTGATTGCACCCTATGTTCATTTTAACCCTATGCTAACATACATATTCGGGTCACTACGGTAGTTTGTTAATGCGAATTTTATTTAGTCTCTTTCAGTTCGACCAAACTGACTCTCACTATCTCTGCCAAAGCTCTAAAAACATCCTTCTTAACAAAATTTTCTGCACCGCAAGCAAATCTTTGTAAAAACAGGCTAAAAACACCGTTATATATATATATATATATATATATATATATATATATATATATATATATATATATATATAAAAATCTCACTTTTTAGTCGGAATTTTACTAAACATTTTTAAAAAAAGGAAAATTATAATCGTTTGAAGATATCGACGCCCTGAGCTCAAATCTCATAAAATGGGATTGGCAATCTTTTTCTGCGGTCTTCGAGGTTTGAAAATTGACATTTTACTAATTTTTTTGACCAAATTGTGCGCTTTAATGCCTTTATTATGGCGTTTATTGCATTGCAATTTTTGATTAGGTCAATTTAATATACACCCTGAAGCAACCAAATGACCGTTCCAAATTGATTTGATGCAAGTGTAACGGCTCCAATAATTCCATGTCACAGTCAATTTGTTCTCTCAGACTAGTCTGCAGATTTTCAGGGCCATTCCTAATTATAGGTTATTGTTTAATTACTGGTAATTGAGATGCACAGCTTTGCCTGCGATATTATAAGATATTTTCTGTACATTTTTGTAGGAGAGAACCGACGGTAATATTTTTCAAGAAACTGGGGAGCAGGTGATAGAACAATTGACTCATGCTGGCTATGTCGAAGTATTAACTCAAGGTGGACGGCAATGTTTTTTAATAAGCACGTCAAGCTCGCCCTTACCTAGTTTTGACTTGTTTTTTGAAGTTTTTTTTGGTTTTATCGTGTGGAGATCTAGAAAATTTTCAATAGGTATCAAAATGGGTAGGCTCACTTTTAAAAAAATTAAATTTTTGTCTTTCGTTTTTTTCGCGCATCATGTGCAATTTTGAAAACAGATCCAAGCAGTTACATGCTATCCCTTGGTTGATCCGGATAGACTAAGGGTCGTGGTTTGTCGCAAAGTCGATATAAGAGCTCAGTACTAAAATCAACATTAATTTGATTTTTGCACCCGTCGAAAACCACCAGGTGACGGCTTCAGTTGAGAGGTGCATCCGCACATTGTGTGAACGGTTGATAGCGTGTTCATTTCATAAACCGACAGCTAGCATTAAGGCGGCAGCGAATGAATTAATGTTTAAAATTCGTACGACAACATAACAATCTACGGGTCATTCGCCGTTTGAGGCTCATTTAGGTCAAAAACCGAATACAGTGTGACACACGATTTTTCGATCCGCTTTATCTAACAATTTATCATAGAAAGATGTTATATTCGCCTAAGATAAAAACATGACGATGTTCTCAGCTAAGTTCATAAGAGACTTTGCATTACCGGACGACAAATGGGCGACGGGGTCTTTCGACAGAATCGAGCACCCATCGGCACCTGAGGCTAACAGAACCAGCAGTGTCTGAACCAGTTTGGGTTTGAACAGCAGTACGCCATTTAGTAAAACAACAGTCCTGTGCGCACAACAAAACGGTTATCATATTTTTCGGAAAGTTCAGGACCGATAAAAATCGGAACTGTACTTTGAATTACAAAAGGAAGAAGTTGTGCGGGAAACGGATCATACAATTACGTTAAACTAAGGCATGGTAATACATAACAGCTCCTGAAAAAAAATAGCCACCTTGACATCTGCTCAAAATTCGGCCTTGTAAAGTCGGCTAAAAATAATATGATGTATTAATAAAATCAATTTGTGCGATCAGTTTTTTTTATACATTGATTAATACAAAATCTCAAAATTAAGATATTTGGACGAATTAAATACAAATATCCGGTTTCTTAATTGGGTACAAAACGGGAAATTAAAACTATCATTTTTATTATAGAAAGCAAGATTAAGTCAACCAAACTTTAAGGAACTCAATCGCCCCCTCTTAGAAATTCTTATTCACCATTTTCTCCTTCTATTTTTAGGTTATGGCTAAATTATGACTTTGCACGGCTTAAAAGCAACGTTTCAGATGAACACTTATAAAAACCCTTCCGCTGTATTTATTACTATACGTATGGTTGTCCTAAATTGATGATATTAGAAAATAAATAATTTTGGCGCCTCTTAAAAGCTCTGTGGAAGCAAAGCTTAATCCTTGTGACATTGTTTATTTTTTGTGTCTGAAGCTCTGAAAAATTGTGGAACTATGATCATTTAATGATCATGGTTTTTGCCGACTGATCATTTAGTATGCTGTAACAATGGTGCAAAATTAATTGACGTTTTTGTCGCATATTAGCAGTTTTGAATATTATTAGACTGCTCTGAACCAGTTTGCCTTGTTGTATGATTTGATTCTACTGTTTTTAATTTCTGTCAAAAATTATGAAACGTCCAATGCAAAGCAATTGATATTGATTTCTATGACTGACATTTTTCATATTATGGAAATGTATGATTGGATTTTTTTGTATTGCACCGGTTTTGCTACTAATTTTTTTGCAATAACTATGGAATGGTATGATTCGTGTTTTTCATAGTATCTATTTATATGAATAATATTTTGCCAATACAATAGATATCTGTGAACACCAGTCGGGCGCGTTCAATAATGCCGAAGTACACTAGTGTCGAAACTGAAAATGTGTTCAACAGTGCCAAAAACAGGATATTTTAAAATTTTGAGTTCTGTTTGCAAATTCTTAACTTATTGTTAGAATACCGTTTTGTTTGGAGCGAAACCGAGGGAAAAACTTGACAAACTATAGCGTTATTTGTTTGTTCAGAAAAATTTATGACGCCGCGCTTGAGAAACGTTTTTTGTTTAACAAGCGGCATTAATTAAATTGGTCATTTTTGAGTTTTCAATTTCCGTCGTTTTTTGAATTATTTTTCTGTCAGTGTTTTTGGATCAGTAAAACAGTATTCAAATTAATTTACGGCCGTATTGAACAACATTTTTTGTTTCGGCACTGTTGTACTTTGGCACTGTCGTACTGCCCCCATCAGTCAAGTGATAATATTTGATCACTCGCGTATAAGATAACTTTTGTTACTACTTAATCTGACTTCAGATTGGAATTGATTTAAATCGGTTTTTCTACAGATACCTATCTTATGACAATCGATTTACAATAGCCCAATTAGATATGTAAATTAATTTAGAGAGGATTAAAGGGATTTTACGGTAGTCGATATACATGGATTTTAGCAAGGCAGTGAAATCCATCTTGGTCTCAATAAAATTTATTTAAAGTAACTATTCTTTTTGTTTTTAATTCTGAGCAATTTTTAATTTAAACTTCTATTTTATTTTTTTAACAATTTTTATTTTTGTACTCAAGAAAAATCTCCATCGGAGCTACAGAGAACAAAAGTGACTCGAGGATAGTTTTTTACCGCAAATGATTGTGATGAAGGGAATACTTTTTGAGTTTTGCAAATCTAAGGGCTCCCGCAAAATGAGAAATAAAATTGTGCAAATTTTCTCCAAATGTCATTTTTGTTATAAACGTTATAGGGAAAATAAGGTTAAGCAATGACATGTAATGGAAAACTCAATACAGAACAATTTGTTTTTGGAGGTGAAAAATTACTGTTGAGATATACTCAGAGATTTTTTTCAGTCCAAACATCAATACGAAAATCAAATGAAAAGCATACCATTGAGTTTTTTCCATTTTTCTTTATTCCTTGAAAACCGAAAAAAAATCTAAATATAATATGTATAGAATATGTATAAAATGAGTACGAAAAAGTGGACAAAAATTGGTTCAGATCGATTTAAATTGATTTTATTGCTAGTCAAAATCCGTATGAAAAAGAAATCAAAATTTTGACAAAAATGTGTTTAAATCAATTTAGCATTGAGTGAAATTAATTTTTAAGCTATTTTTTGTATCAAACTTAATCGATATTAAATCAATGCAAATCAATTTTTTTTTAGCTCTTTGCTACAATATCTGTAAAAAATCGGTTGCAATCCATTTCTTGCCAACACGGGATTCTTTTTAGTTTGTTTGAGTCTCAATGACTATGTGCGAAAAGGCTGCAGAAACTGGTCAATTTCCACATAAATTTCTCACCAAAGGACTTTGCATGATTGTAATAACAGCTGAAACTTTTTTTTGTTCAGGAGCTGATCACGACTTTCTATATTGGGTTCCTCGGCCTCATCTTTGCATCTCTTCTCATGTACAATCTGGAGAACAGTGCCTCTGCTGTCGGTATACTTCTTAATGGGTCAACAGCTGCTGACAACATGAGTAGCGGGGGTGCGGAAGGCGGTTCCGCAATGCCCCCAGGACCAAGGCAGTTCGAGACATACGCTGATTGTCTATGGTGGGGAATTGTAAGCATGAAACTATCAATGAAATGTTACATATTTTTCTGAGCCACAATTACTCACTCAAATATGCAACTTAGGCACTTAAAATATTTGATTCATACAGGCTTCAAAACTGACCGAAGCAGGTATTGAATCATCTTTTTTTGTAAATTTCGACAGAAATTTTTTCGAATTAAAAAAAACTGAAATTAAAGTTTTTTTGTGCTATTAAAACACCAACTAGCTCGTTTTACCCAGTTTATCTCATACTGAGAAGGAATCTTGAAAAAAAAGTTTTGTATATATTTTGAATGACATTTTTTTATTTATATTTTGAATGAGTAATTGAAGAATCTAATAAAAAGATCAAGTTATTTAAAACATCAAAACAATTGTGACGTTTTGTTCATTCTTTTTCGAAGACCATTCTGTTATTTTTAGGATTTGTTTTACTTATGCAAGAGCAAGTGTCTTGTAATCGGGAACTAGACTTGTGAACTTGAAAGCTATAGGAAAATAAAGTTTCTATCAATGAACCCTAACATCTTCAAGGCTCTTTCCCACTTGGCTTAGAAGTATCGTGATTGCCTTTGCATCCTGAAGTCTGGGGTTTGATTCCCATGGGAGCCTTTTTTTTCGGATGTATCCAAAAAAAATCAATTTTTTTTCTTTCCTTTGCTTGTTGCTTCCAAAGCATGCTTTTTTTTTAGTCTGAACAGTTTTTTTACAAGTACTGGTTTTCTCGATCTGATTTTTTTGTCAAAGTACAAATTTAGATTTGAATGAGCCCTTTTTGTTAGTTAAATTGATTTACGCCTTCCATTCATTGACTAAGTTAACTCTTGTATATCGTTTCAAGAGCGAAAGCGTTTCATTTTTCTATTTATAATTCAGGACGGTTGAGGTCTAAAATTTAATATTTAAACTATTAAAGCTGGGAAATTTTTTTTACAACAATGTCTTATGGTGTTTTTCTTAAATTTGAGGACTAAAAAATTGCTCCGTAAAAAATACTAAAAGCTCAATTAATTCTGGTGGTTTTGTAATAAATAGTTTTTCTGAAGTGAACAGTTTATTTTTCGAAAAGCTCAATTTCTTTTTCAAATGCAAATTTTGTCTCATAAAAGTTTCCGTCTCATATTCTAATTGCTAGCTTGCAATGTTACGCTTGGTTGTATCGCAAATGGTGCAAGACTTTAAGTTGCCTCGGAGAAATTGCTTCGTTTTTGTTTCTTGTAAACGGTTTGTAATTGCTTAATGTTTTCGTATGGGATTAGCAATCGTTATCAAATCAGATTTTCTAATCATTTTAATCATTTTAATTTTTCAGTCTTTCAAGTTCGAGATAACGATGCGGTCTGTTTAATCTGGTTCCTGCTCACTTCGTTCCTGTAATTTTTAAACATGCGACATTTGTTTTTGTATAAATTCCTTTTTTCTCTCTCTCTCATTTTTGTGCTCAAAACTTCATTCGGCTTAAGTAATTTTGATCTCGTCACCTTTTATTGCGTCGTTCTCATGCTTCTGTGTGCCTCTAGAGGGAAAAAACTTCAAATTGCAAACTTTAGAGGTCAAAATATTTTTGGTTATTTTGTTATTGGCTCAATTGTCGTCAATTCCTCAATCTTTGTTCCCGAGGTCAATCCCCAGGTACAGGGGCGGATTTAGGGGGGGGGGGGGGGGCGGACGCCCCCCCCCCCCCTCAGGGATTCGACCCCCTGCCGACCCAAAGGGTCCCCCCTTTGATACTTTTTCGGAAATCCATTTTTGGCCGACCGACCCTAAAATTTTTCTAAACGCGATTTTTTTGTCAAAATTTTTCAAAAATTTCCAAAAAACGGCTTTTGTGACTGTTTTTTCAAAAATTTGCCTGCGGCGCAGAAAATTTAGCCAAAGTACGGGCAAAACAGTGCTTTGGGAGAGCTCGAGAAATCAATTTGGTCGACCTAAAAAAAAAAAAAAGGTCGTCAAAATTTTGGAAAATTTTTTGAAAATCCGCCCCCCCCTCGAGAAAATCCTAGATCCGCCCCTGCCCAGGTATAAGTGATAATTTTTTGGAATGCTGATTTAACGCTGTCGATTGTGTTTCTCGGAACATTTTACTCAAATTGAATATTATACGGGACAAACGTATGAAGTTTAAGGACTTAGTGGCCTCCGACTCATTTTCTTTGTTCGAGGTTCATCGCAAGTGCTGCTTCGACTAAGTGTAAATTATTCAATCAAATGTACATAATAATTGAAGGTCACCCTGACAACTGTGGGCTATGGGGACAAAGTGCCTCTGACGAGTGGGGGCAAACTGGTGGCGTCTTTCTTCGCCATCATGGGCATCTCTTTCTTCGCCCTCCCTGCGGGTATCCTCGGCAGTGGTTTCGCCCTCAAAGTGCAGGAGCAGCAGAGACAGAAACACTTTGCTCGCAGAAGAAACCCCGCAGCTACTCTACTACAGGCACACAATTTTAAAATAGCTATACTTTTTGGCAGTTTTGTCCGACACGAATTATTACTCAAAGCTTTTTCGACCTGAGTTTCAAAAGTTTTCAAAAAAAAATTCTTGCGTACTCTTTTGTTATAGCGTTTTGACTTCAAGAAATTGTCTTTTTTATGACAATGACGCGAAATTGGAAATCACCTGTACTATAAACAACCGTCAAAACTAATCACCTGTACTAAAAATAACCGCCAAAACCTTATGCATATTGGACGACACCATCAGATTACTAGAACTAATCGTTCCAGGATGAAGCCCTGAATTTATTTCTGTCCTTCTTCCAACAAAATTAAAAAATTCGTAATCGTTGCTAATATTATGGTTTCATAAAAGGTTTTAAAATGATTTTGGCCTAAATCTCGTTTTTTTTGAAAGTGCTCATATCTAGGCAACTCCGTTTATCGTCGATTGAAAGGTTTTATTTTAAAAAATTTAAAAATGTGCAAAGAAAAGCTTCCGATTTTTTTTTCATTTTTAAATTTAAATCTGCTATCTTAAATCTGATAAAACTGCAGACAATGCATTTTAACTGGTCGCGAGCAGGGTTAAAATATAATTCGACCACGGCTTAAAAATTAATCAATAGTGTCCATGCAAATGTCAGTTAGGACAAAACCGGGTCATTCTGAATCTATAGCTGAATTTTTCTGAATTTATGACGACTCATAAAAGTACTCTAAAAAATCTTGGGGGCTTTGTATGACGAGTCGCTTATGTTTATTATAGAGTTGATAAAACCTGAAAGGTGTCTGTCTTTTTCAGAGAGGATAACACATGACATCCGTGTTTGTGGGTGTTTGCTCTTTTTCTCCTATTCTTCTTTCTCTGCACTTGAGAGTAAGAAGCAGCAGATATCTGGAAATTAAAATCCTGAATTGAGTTCTATTTGTTTTCTAGTGTGTGTGGAGGTGCTATGCTGCGAGTGAGGACTCCCTCTCTGTGGCGACCTGGGCCATACATGTAGTGTCTCCCACCTATAACAACTCCAGCTCATTCTCGCCCACCTCCGCCAACACTGGCGGCACAGCCACTACACACATATTCGGCTCAGCATCGAATCCACTCGCAAGGTAACCCATTGCACGACAAACCTTGAGACTTCAATTTCCTCAGAGGCATACCAAGGTTTCTGTGGAGTTCCCGGGAGCTTCCCTCTTCTATTTAATCGTCCTAATTCAACGCTTTTGTTTGTAATCATGCAAATTTACGTGGTTGAGCTTTAAAATTTCGATGGAAATTAATTTTTTTTGCAATTTTTGTATCGCAAAAAATGCAGACTGACTTTTGGGTGGAAAAATTGATTTATGGAAAAATTGAATTATACAAGGATTTATATCTTTGGTTTTTTAGTTTTGTGCAACGAGTACTGTTTTTGTGTGCCATAATTTATAAATAAGTTACTGTATAGATGAAGGTAATTAGAGTGCGAGTTTGTGGGTGGCTTTTTGACCTTTTCTGTCCTATTTTTAATGGAATTCCACGGCTTCATTTGTTCAGTCACCTAAATATAATGTTTTCATTTTAATTTCAATATTTAAATATAGAAATGCAATCTGATTGAGGAAACAATCAGGGCTCGACATCAGCTCTCCGTGAACAGAGACTAATTTGGTGCAAATTTGGTTGAACTAATTTGGTTTAAAATATTAAACATCATTTAACTATTCGATGAATGGTCTTAATATTTCGTCTGTGTTCAGAAAACTGGCTGGTAGTAACTTAATAGAGAGGATTCCATCCATCAGGACTCGGAAGAACACGCCAACGCGTAAAGCTAGTCACGCTTCGACTAACAACGGCTTCATCATGTCCCCGACTGAACTGAAGAAGCCCAAATCCAACCCTCAGAGGTCATCGCTGAACCTCAATATCAACAACTATGGCAACCACATTGAAACAACGGTCACCAACACCAACAACAGCTTCATACAAATGAATAGAGGTACAATACCTCCCACACAATGCACAGCAAAGATCTTAAATTGGTGAAATAATAACGGAATTGCCTATGATCAGCTATCTAGCCCATTGAATTCCTGCTTATTTGGCGCAAATAATCTTTTTTATTATCATGTTGCTTAATGTACGCCTTAAGATAGAGCAAATTTGAAGAGAACGTTTGAGAATAATCATGATTATAACTCAAGATTGCAATGTTGATGCTTCCAATGGTATTTTCATTCGAATCGGCAAAATTTGTGGTAATACTTTCCTCGAAAATATCTAAAGCAGAGAAAACGATGCCAACGGTAGACCAATGATGGACTTTTTAAATGTATTTTGGGCTGATGTGATTGAAATAAAACAGTTTGATTGATGATGTTTTGATTGAACTTAACTTTAGGTGATTTTTTTTGTGCTCAACGTGCACATGAAGGGTTCCCGGCAGGGGCGGATCTAGGATTTTCTCGAGGAGGGGTGGATTTTCAAAAAACTTTCAAAAATTTTGACGACCTTTTTTTTTTAGGTCGACCAAATTGACTTTCCGAGCTCTCCTCAAACATTAAAAAGACTATGTTTTGCTCAAATTTTCTGCGCCGCAGGCAAAATTTTGAAAAACAGCTCAAAAAGCCGTTTTTGGGCAATTTTTAAAAAATGTTGACAAAAAAATCGCGTTTTTTTGGCGCGCACTCCCCTTCAAAATTAGTATATATTGGCGCCAAAGGCGCTTTTAGAAAAATTTTATGGATTTCTTAAAAGTACCAAAGGGGGACCCTTCGGGTCGGCAGGGGGTCGAATCTCTGAGGGGGGAAGGCGTCCCCCCACCCCCCTAAATCCGCCCCTGATTCCCGGGTTGATTCTATTTCGTAAGTAGATAATTCAACGAACACTTCAATGTTGATTTTGATGCAAATCTGTGTTTTCAGGTAGCTCTCTTTCTCAGTTGGCTGTGAAAAGTTTTCCTTGTTTAGACAGTCTGGCAGAGCCCAAGCGGAAGAGTTCGCTGCTGAGTCTGAACTTCGAGGCCTACTTTCCAGGCGGATTCTTCAGCAGCCCCAACTCCAGAAAGAACTCTCTCGTAGAGTCTGAGAACGATCAAGGTTAGTTTAACTTAGTTAAGACCTATAGCCAGGTGCGGATAAAAACTTTTCAAGTGTAAGATCCAGAATTTGATGCTGTGTAAGCTCTATTTTTAAAATAGCCAAATGTCAAGGGCGTTCGTGCCCGTGAGCTTTACATTGCCAAATCTTCAAGTCTCGATCCCTTAATTTGTATGTAACATCAGAAATAAACTATAGCGTGACATCGCGAAAGTTAATTGAATTACTTTCAAAATCTGAAAAAAACATCAAAATACGCTCACGAAATGTTAAGCTTTGAAATTTAAAAGCATCCAAGCTTCGACAGAGCTGAATTTTTCTTTAAATTGCACCAGCTCAGGCAGTAGTTTTCTGACTGGTTTCAGGATTCAGTCCCAAAATAAACAAGACTGCTCGTATCAGGGCGAAGCCCTGAATATTCCGACTGCCTTTTAAGGTATATGCAGCAGTAATAACATGAAAAAAATGTTATAAAACAAAATGAAAAAAAAAATTTGATTTTTTGTGAAAATCATCCCTCACACGCCATATAAAACAAAGGGATGAGTTTCGCTTCTAGTAACAAATCAGTTATGGCAAATGAGCTTCCTTCAACCAATTTGGAACACTTTCTAAAATGGATTAAATCTCCGCTTACGCGTTAATTGCGCGAAGTATATCGCATGTTAATTGTCACAAATTCGACAAATGGGCAATATTTAAACCTCCACAACTTTGCGAAAAATGATCACAGGTAAAATATCTTTTCAAATTTAAGCTAAGGACAACAATACTTTTTGAATCATGTAAAAAAACTTTGTCAAAAACTCGAATTTTGTGTGAAGAAAAATATTACGAGGCCAAACTGTGTATTTTATGAATTTTAAGCGGATTCTGCAACAAGGACGCGCTCTTTTGTTCTCTCTTTTTCTTTGATCATTCCGAAAAAATTTCAACATGTTTAAAAATTTGTCTCTGGAAACCAGGAAAATACAGACACAAAACTGTGCGCCTACCCAGTGCACAGTTTGGCCTCCTAATGAAAAACCCACCCCAAGCACAAATATTCCGTTACCCGCATCCCGTTTCAAGGGTTAATAATCGATTAAAATATGATTTTTGTACCAGTCTTACAAAAATTGAGAAAAAAGTATTTTTAATCAATTAGTAATCGATTATAATTTCTCTTTTTGAAATCAAATATAATCAATTATACTACATTAAAATCGATTATAATCGATTATTTTTATCCAATTTTCTAAGTCATTTGTTTTCAGAAAAAATCCATAATAATAGATTATAATTGTTTATAATCCCTTTTGTTTGCCCATTTGGTCTTCGACCTTCCCCCTAAATTGCTTATATTTTATGCTTCTCGTAGACGTTGGCTTATGTAAAAAATTGGAAAAAACTGTTTTAGCAGTTTTCAAGTCACTTCAAATTTGTAATTGTTTTTTTTTCTCTTTTCTTCTTGATTATAAGTGTTTACTGATGCACATTTTAAGTTTTTTTGACCAAAAAATATCAGCACACTGCTGTAGGTTCATGATTTATATAGAAAGTTATATTTCACCTGCTGCGGGATTTCTTCAACTAATATGAACTGATCTCTATGTTTCGTGGCAAAACTTTGTATTCAGATGAACCAAAGAGTGACAAAACATCTCACTCTTAGAAACTTTTGACAGAAAATAAAGTTTATAATCTATTATAGTAGAATATAAATAATTATAAGAGACTATAAAAGATTATAAGAGATTATAAGAGAATTTCAGAAAAAATGTAATCAATTATAATTGATTATACTTTTTTTATAATGTCACGAAAAATGTTATCATTATAATGGGTTATAAATCGTTTTAACATCTAAGTTTGGCGCTGATAATTAATTATAATTTTGATAAAAGAACAATTATAATGGTAATATAATCGAATATTTTCTCTTTTACTGAATGCGGGTACTTTCTTTGCGAAAGTCGGAACAAAACTCAAATACACAAAAGTATACACAATACTTAAACACAATACTTAACCAATTGTTTTTGTATCTTTGAAAAGTTACCTTAAAAATTTGGAAAGCTGATTCTTGGCCGGGAAAAAATCGAAAGACAGATCAATTGTTTTTTGTCAAATCGTTCTTACACCCCTAAAAATATTCAAAAAGACGTTATCTTCAAGAACTAATTACTTATATTTAGGATTCAAAGGTGCTATTTATTATTTTTTTCATTCATTCCTTAAGCATTCAGAGCTTTTCCTTTTTTCATGTTTTTCAAATAAAAGTATAGTATAAGTGTACATAAATATAACATGTATTCGTCAAACGAATTGCAAGTTAACAATATCGAATTACGAAATTGCCTAACAACTGTGGCCGAGGCAGTCGCGTTAATGTTGCGAGCTTGCCATTAGCAGAAGGAGGCTACAGGAATACAGAGCTCGTTTTTGCCGTGACGTGACCATCTAAAAGACCATTTTTTTCATGTTTTTGGCCCTTAGAACCACTAGTCACAATTTTTGAACTGTTGAAATGATAGAAGGACTTGTAACCCTCTGTTTTTGGCTTTTATCTGTCTCCTTGATTTTCTTGATCTTTTTCCAACAATCAGTTCTTTTCAGAAGTTTTCAATCTCCAATTGGTTTTCCGAGTCAGCTCAAATTGAGCTTTGTGATAAAAACATAACAGTAGCGGTGAATTGAGCTCATTATTTGGTTTTGGAAACTATTTCAGGTTTTTGAGCATAAATTTTTGGCTTATTGTTTTCAACATCATCTAAAGTGTTCATAGCGCGCAAAAACTTAACCAGAGCTTGGCCAAATTGTGCTGTGATATGAAAACAGCCAATTTAACACAGTACAGTTTACTATTTAGTCATTTGTTCACTTTAAATTTTAATTCCCTAACAAATTAGCACCAATTTAAAATTTAACACCAGATTTAAGTCTGTATTAACTCGTTATCTAAACTCGTATTACAGGAATTACAAGAATAATCCTGCAATTAACTCACACATCACATTGAACAAATCAGTTTGTTTCAATTATACGCGCTAAAATGAGGATTCACAAATTACTTAAAACTCTTATTCACAAGTTCGTTTTTTTTTCAATTGGATGTTTCACTCAAGCACAATGATCGCTAAAAATCCCGCAAATTGATTGAAATGGCTAGAAGCACACGCAAGCAGCTAGATGTAATTATGCCACCTATCACCGCTGAGCGAATTCTCGAGAATCTTGAAGTTGTTTAAATTTTTATCCAGTATGGCATTCGATCAAATGACCACGAGATAATCATTTTGCTTGTTGAACCCAAATTGTTGAGAACTTTGGAAACGCTATCTGTCTGGTTGGCGATGGAACTCTTATCAGAACTGCCAAATGGTTATTTCAGCTGTATTCAATTGATGTTAAAGTTTCTATTATTGCACCAGCTTGTATATACGCTTACCATCACTAACTGATTTTTCCTTCTTAATGCTTTTCTTTATAACAAAACAGAAAAAAACCTACAATCGGTTGTACAGGTTTTATTTGATTTACCAATAAACTGCCGGCTTGAATTTCTGCTAAAATATTTTGGGCTAGCTGCTCTTCAGTCATTCCAAAAAAAGGACTTCGAAGCGCATTTATCGTGATGTTGTTTCTATCTCTAACCAAATTACATGGAAAGAGTCAATGAATTGAGTGTCGTAATGACCTACGAAAAAAATTGCAATTTAGTTTAGGCTTTGAAATTGCTGCTTTTTCCTTGCAATTGAAATAAAGCTAAGATCGATGAGTCCTGTGATATGATTGTTAAGAAAATTTATCATTTATGCGACAGAAATTGTTTGGAATCCAAAATTTTCCTAAAGAATGCCAAGTTGTGTCTCTATTTTGACTGTAAATATGTGAAAAGATGGGTGCCAAACCGTCATGTTTTATTACCGCCCTCTTTTTGGAACCAGTGAGTTGCTAGAGCAAAAAACGCCTTTGTAAGGATGGCATTTTGACATTTATTCTTAATTTAACGTAGCGTTTGAGTTTGTGGAAAGTAGTGAGCTGCTTGCAAAAAAAGGCCTGTGTACAAAAACTAAGATTTTTTTCGATGAATCGAGTGGCCATAAGTTCATACTAAAGATAAAGATGATTAACAAAAAAATTTTATAATTGCAGACGAGGCGCCACGACGACTGACCAAGCTGCGTACAAAACACAAGATAGCAATCCGCTTTATCCGTCGCATGAAGTACTTCCGGGCCAGAATTAAGTTCAAGGAGGCCTTGAAGCCCTATGACGTGAAGGATGTGATAGAGCAGTATGCCAGTGGACACGTGGACCTCATCACTCGTGTCAAGGACATACAGGCCAAGTTGGTTCATCTTCTTGACATTTGCACAGAGTTCTAAACTAAGACAGGCAAAAAAATTACCAAGAAGAATGAACTGTTTTTGACAATTTTTTCCGATATCTCGCATAAAAAGTCAATTGGAGCTAAGTTAACCGAGTGTTTTTTAAAACTCACATCAAAAAACTATAATTTTCAAGAAGACAGCAGTCAAATTTTCCTCAAATTTTTGTCGACCGAAATAATTTTTTGAGCTTCAGCCGACTCCTTTCAATCAATATGCAAAACGGCATTATTGGCGAAATTTTGCGAAAATCCTTTTTGATGGTTTTGAACAAAAAATGCGTTAAAAATTTTGGTATCTTCTTGACCGAAAATTGTGAGCTGTGCTAGGTGTTTGTTGGTCATTAGTCCTGCCTTTTGCCTTGATAATTGACAATTGTTTAAATCTTCAAATGTTTTGATTTGTGCAAAATCTCAGATTTGGTATCTTTCATTAATTTTTCATAAAAGTAGGCTGCGAAGGGTCTGAAAAGTAGTAGTTTTCAGTTTCAGAGTGTACGTTTTTCAGTTTCGCGCTTGTTGTGGGCCAAAAAGACAAGAAGAAGCAGGACTCTAGCTTCTCCAAGCTCACAGTGGCGTCCAGAGTAGTGAAGATAGAGAACCAGCTGACTCATCTGGAGCGAAAGCTGGACCACCTCATCCACATGTACAGGAAAGACAAGACCCAGGCCATACACAGCATGCATGTGCAACATGCCATTAGCAGCAGCGAAGACGAGTCCGGGACTCCGCTGTCTAGACAGCAAAGAGTGCCCCCCTCACAACTGTTTGTAAAGACCCGTCAGATGGATCTTCTATCCCCAATAATTTCGAGGTTTTCATTATTTCATTATGAACTTCAAAGCTCACTTAAGTTTTTCATTTTTTGTAATTTTATCATTAAGAAGCCTTTGATAGAACGTTCAATTGAAATTGACACCACGCAGATACTTAATTAATAAATAAAAAACTCAACATTTGCACTTTTCAGTATTTGATCTTGTAGCAAAAATCTCATTTTTCATTCATCTTTGCTCCACTAAGCTGGTAGAAGTTTTGTTATGCCTGTGCTGTTTCTGAGTTCAAACTCTTTTGTAGGTCAAGATCCCACTCGCAACCAAATGCCCTGTTTCTGGACCAGGATCCGATGCACTCTACGGGAAGCGACTTCCTGTTCCAGAGCACACCGACAGTGTCCAGACAGGCTAGCTGTTTCTTGAATGTACCACAACTCACGGATCAACAGATAAACACCAAACAACCAGACACCAACCATTCGCAGTCATGACGCTGCCTGCGATCATCCGATGAACCAAATAAAGCAACTATATTTTCTAGTTTGCAGACTCATTGTTGAAATTGATTTGTTTTCTCACCCCTTCTTGCATCATCAGTCGTTTCACTATTTTTGTATTAGCAAGCACAATTTAGACGAATAAAAATGTATTCATATTCATTTCGAAACGTTTATCACTAATGAAAACAGCCTGAGTTTATTCTGATAATATTGAGCAAAAGATTCCCTGTATAAACGCAAAACTCAGATGGTATAAAGGACAGTCTTATTCGATATTTTAAAGTTTTATGTGTTTTTCATAGCGCTGCGTGAAGTTAAAATAAAGTCAATACTCGTATGATATTTTTATTCCGATTATTTCCCTAAAAACGACAAAAATAAAAAAGCTGTTGGCTAATCACACTTCAGTTTTGGTCGATTTGCTTGATTCTCTCAGTCAAATAGGTTCTGTCATCGGATTGACGATTACGATAAATGAACCTGTAATGAAATATAGTGTTTTTACTCCAGAATCGGAGGGGGCGGGTGATCCGTCGTAGGAATATTTGGGTGTACGTGTAGGGAATTAGCAGTGATCACTAATGATTCCATGTATAAAATGTTTGTGGCGACGATCGCTTTAAACTTCTAAGGATTTATATAAAAGTTTATGGCATCGATTCCTATGTTTAACTTGAGAAACCAATGTGAAAATTTTTTGCCAAATTTTTTTTCACACAAACAATTTTTCAGAACAAAACTTGATTTTTTCCTATTTGTTTTTCATTACTTCTCTTCCATCTAAAAAGTTCTTCGACTACATGTGAGATCAATATTTTAGAAAGACGAATACTTAAATAATTAATTATAAATTTTTATCAATTATTATTGATTGTTGTAATCAATTATGAAAAGACGATCAATGATAATTGCTTTGATAATTAATAATCTCTATGTATAACTAATGAACGACGCTTTTGTAAATCTAGTAATCCCTAAATAAAACTAATGATCCTTTTGAATAACTAATGATCCCTGTGTAATATGTATCGCAGTTAGCATAGTGGTAACGCGTTCTTTTTAAGATCATCAGATCGTTTAATCAATCCCCTGCCATGGCAATTATACTCTGTGAGGACGAGCTCTGAGTTGAGCTCTAGCTTCAGGTCTACCACAGCCTGACCGATTACGACTGCAAAAGTGGTACCACGTGAAAGCTCTAGGCGCAAAAAACGGCCTTGGGTTGCTAAAAAAGAGCTTCGCTCAACAAAGTAACTTAGCCTGGAATGTGGGGAAATAAGAGCTGACATGCTTAGACAGGCTGATTAGCATTTCATAGATCCTCTGCGAATTGCAGAAACCACAATTATTTTTTGTGATTATTATGATTAGTATGATTCTTATTACTTTGTATAACTTTTGATTCATATGTATAGCTAATGATCCCTTTGATTGTCTGATGATCCCAAAAACAAACAAAGATCTGCATGTGCAACTACTGATACCAACTAGTAGTTAATGTTCTCTGTACTAAGTAATGCTCCCTTTACTCAACTAATGTTCAAAATGGATACAAAATGATCGCTATGCAACTGCTATGATACCTATGTAAAACTAATGATCCCTGTGAGAATTCAAAAAAAACCTAGGTATAACTACTAAACCCTATGTATATCTTTTGATCCCTGCAAATGACTAACTTTCCCTTGGGATAACTAATAATCTCTATATTCAACTAATGATCTCTCAATATCCTAAATTATCCCATGGATATCCAATTTCAAAAAATTGTAACCTAAAATCAAACTAGCACGAAAGCACAACGGGAACTATTCTTTCTTTTGGCCACTGATAAAAAACTGCTCAAAAATAATAATGCATGTTTTACAACTTTTGCTGTTTCAAATTGCACAAATCGCTTTCCAGTTTTGCGATTGATCCCAGAAAAAATTTGTTACTTCGCGCTCGAAAAATTTTTAGGAGATTGTTACTGTTGATCAGTTATTAATGTTTGTTCATCAAGATAGTGAGCTAGTTTTGTATTGAACCGCTAAAATTGTTTTCTGAGCCAAAAATTTCAGCAAAAGTACAAAGACTCACATAAAGCTCAAAATAATTTATTCGGAGATCAAATCAGACAACATAAAAAAAGATATTTCAAGAAACTAGATGAATTCGCTGAATTAGCTAAACTTTTGAGGCGATACATTCAAAGGGTGGCGATACATTCGAACACGCTGGTCAAAAAACGCCATACGCAAAAGTTTTTCTTTTGTTTAAAAGGAGTCAATCTGAGGAATGAAAAATAGCTTTCTTCCATCAGTTGTGGCTACCAACTTGTGATAAATACATCAGAAGTAACCTTTTTTGAAATATTTTGCACTCAGATTGAAACATAAAACAATTAGCTAAGACAAGTTTCAGTCACGGACAGATGTTCTCTACGTTTGTAGCTTAAAAATCAGCGGTGAAGTTTCTCTTACTGATAATTGCGCCTTGCTTGCTTCATGTTGAGACTTGTCGAACATCAGGACGTTTATGAGTTTCTTACGGATCACAAAATCCTACAAGTTGAACTCATCTGGATAGAGTTTGGGTTGACATTATTTTCCAATTCCTGTTGAAAGTGTTCTGAACGCTATCAAACTTGATCGATTGCTCTTTGTTGGTGTTTCAGCTACAGGATTGGCGCTTTTGCTACCGCAGGTTAATGCAGTATAACGTACTAAACTGGCAGTCCATTTAGTCAGTTCTAATAAATCGGATGTCTTTCAAACGTACCGATTAGCAATGTAGAGTCGATGTTTGCAGTTCGCTAGTTGGTTTCAATGTGTTTTGATTTGTTGTAGCAACTGAGATCATTTTTAAGATCATTTATCCACGAGGGATAGGACCAACATACGAGCTGTACAGCTCATCACGGCGAACCGCTGTTGTGCCCCTGCTTAAGAACTACATTCAATTTTTTTGGTTATTTTTCTGGGCTGGGTTATGTTGCTTCACCCTCAAGCAACGAGCACGGATCATGGTGGGCCTCAAACATCCGACCTTTCGATTGAGAGGCGGAGACGTAACCACTTCACCACTGCTCCATTTGTTCGAGACCGTACTTTTATTTGACATGCAGGGGTAGAATTGGTGCCCAATTGCCGTGAACAATCATCTGATGTCGCTTCAGATCTAATTCAAGCTTAGAACAGAACAACAAAAGTCAAAATCCTGATTTTTGCGCTAGAATCTTTAGCTGTTCTTTTTTGGGTGGTTTTTTGTTTTTTTTCTTCCAAACTTTTCATTAAAACTTGATTATTTTGGAAGATAGCGGTTTAAAAATGCAAAACTCAAGAAGTTTGAAGATGAGAGAGAGAAATTTTGAAACAAATTTAGAATTTAAGAGTTCGGGATTGAAAATGTGCGGAGAATTATTAATTTTTTTTACTGATAATTTGCTGTCAATTTGTTTTATTAATCGGTCCTGGTAAAAAAATATTTGCATTACATTTTGGTTTTTCATTTTTATGGATTCTTATTGCTAAATGTTCAACTCCTAAGTTTCTAATTTTACTTGCTTTAGGAAGAAAATTTGCTTCTGCAGAAACTGATGGAAAGCAAAGTCTTTGAAAAACCACCAAAAAGGGTAAGTGGACTTTAAAGGACATGCCGTCTACATCCGAACCGGTCGTTATTCATGCTCGAATTTTTTCTTACCATTACTCTGATTGGTATCAAACAGCAGCACAAAAATACCCTGAGAAAAAATTCTGATCCATATCAAGCTAATGCGGCAGCCGAGCTAAAGCATGGCGCTTGTGAACAGAAGATAGGATTGGTTACTAAGTTTAAAGTATTCTTAAAGTGAATCAGCATTTTCAAACAAGAAGAAATCAAGTGATGACAGGACCCTAAATTTTAGAGTTTCCAGAAAAATTCTTGGAGAATTTAATGGTTCCTCGAATGTTTCACCGGGAAGTTCTTCAATATATATAATTTATTTAGAAATGCAAATAGCAATTTCTTTTTTCAAATTATCAAATTAAAATTTTCTATATTTAATTTATCAGTACTGTTTACTTTTGATCACCTTTCTTTTTGTGAAAAAACAAAATTGTTAATTCAAAGACTTACACGTCAAAATTTCAAAGACCAACACGTATTTGTTATAACTTAACCTTTATTTGAACCTGAACTAACATTTGCACCAATTAAATACTCGTTACAATTGAAATAAGTTTTTTATACAGCCAGAGCAATGTTTTTTTTTACAATGATCATAATTTTTAGTCTGTCAAAAAGCAACCTCATGAAGAAGAAGAACCCAAGCTGAAGCGAAACAAAAAGACACTAGATGTCGCCATGTCTAAACAAAATAGGTTAAAATCAGAAGTGGTTATAAAGTGTTTTCCGCAACTTTACTAATGTATATAAAACTTCATGCCTGAATGTATGTTTGATTATGAGCATTAGTGCCTGTATGTCTCTACAACTAAAATATGTATACATAGGTGTCTGATTTAAAATTTTCCCACGTGTCTCTTATGTGTAAAAATTTTTGAATGAGTTTTTCTTTCAAAATATAATGAATTTTTTACTGTAGATGTATCCTGTTTCCATTAAAATACATCCCAGGGTATCCTATTAGAAGTGGTTTGAAGCTTTTTTGTAAAAACTTTCATTTAGCTTTTTAATGTAAATTTACTTTAAATTGAAACTTCATTTAGCTGTTAATTTTTTCCGATTTTTTTTTTGGATTTTTCTGCTTTTTGTCATGTGCTAATTAACCAAATACAAGATTGTTGCGAATCATACCATTCGTCTTATTTCATTTAATTAGTCTTAAAGTATTTTAACTGGTTCATTTAGATTTGACCTTGTTATCTTCATTCTCTCCGACGGAGAGAATGATCTCTCACTTTTTAATGTTTTAATTTGGAGATTAATTCACTTTTTAAATATATCTTACTTGTATTAAGTAGAATTATCCGTAACAAAGAAATATTTTATAATGGCGCAGTCAAACAGCAACGAATCAAACGTGAGAGGTATACCTTCAATTTGGCAAAACCACACAGTGGACCCACCAATTTCTTGGGAAGAGTGGAGCGATTTATTCCAACTAGCAATAATCGCAAAGGAGAATATTGATATCAAAAATCTCTTGAATCAATCGGAACGATATCACCCAC